CTTTATCGGCCCCCGAGCCCCTTGTACCCCGCCCCTACTTACTGCACGCCGCACAGGTGAAGCAGGTGTCATGGTAGAGGTTCCCCATGGCCTGGCAGGCCTGGCCAGCCCCAAACACACCTTTGCTGCATTTCACGCAGGCTCCTGCAAGGACAAGGTCACACTGGTGAGCTGGGAGGGGCGAGACAAACTGAGCCACGTGACAGCTGATGACAGGTGAGCCTTGCCTCCCACCTCCAGCCCTCACCCAGGCTCTCCCCATCCCACCACTATGACGACCCTCAGCCCTCCCATGGCAGAAACCAGCCGTGATGCTGGACTTCAGGCCCACCTCTGCCCCCGATAGCCAGCTGGCGCCCTGTCCTCTCACCAGAGCGGTAGACACCTCTGTCCCCGATAGCTGGCCAGCGACCTGCCCTCTCACCCAGAGTGGTCAACACCTCTGTCCCCGATAGCCAGCCGGCGACCTGGCCTCTCACCCAGAGTGGTAAACACCTCTGTCCCCGATAGCCAGCCGGCGACCTGCCCTCTCACCAGAGCGGTAGACATCTCTGTCCCCGATAGCCAGCCGGCGACCTGGCCTCTCACCAGAGTGGTCGAAAGCTCCCACTGACTGCGGCAAAGTCCCAGGGCCACACCACGACTACACCGTGCTAAGCACCTCTGTGAGGCCATTTCTACTGAATTACTTCCTTTACTTCCTGGTGAGAATCGCCTACTAGGACTTATTATTCTCACTTTGTTTTAAAAAAATCATTATTTAAGTTTATTTATTATTATTTTAATTTGCCACAAGGCACATGCATTCACCAGAGAGAGACAGAGAGACAAAGAGAGCAAGCCCCCAGGTCCGGGACTCGAACCACTGTCGACGATGTGGGAGTCCAGAGCCTTAACCAGCACGCCACCTGCCGGCCCCTAGTCTCACGTTTTACAAAAAGTATCAGGCCCCAAGGCTCAGGTTTGTCAGACCCCAAAGCCAGCGCTCTCCCTGGCTCCTGCATCACCAGGCCCCTCACCCAACAAGCCCCACTGGTCTCGGCCATCGGTCCTTCACAGAGCCCCCTGCCCAGCATCATAGAGGGGCTCACAAGGCCATGGCGACCGTGGGGACCAGGCCGCAGTGCCGTGGTCAGCCGTGCAGGGAAGCGCTCAGGGCAGGGGCTCTGGGTACCAGGACCAGGTGGCAGCACACGGCGAGAAGCAGCTCCCGGCACCGGGCTCTCTCCGCAGCTCTGCGGATACACGGCAAGTCTCTCACCTTGGCCAACCACAGTCCTGCACAACAGCCCAGGCCCTGGGCCAGCGCACAAAAGGAGGCCCTGGCAGGGCCTGTCTAAACCCCTGGGGGCCAGCAGGTGGTGTGGTAGTTAAGGTGCTGGACTCCTACATGGCTGACTGCAGTGCGAGTCCCACACTCGGTGGCTTGAAACTCAGGCCATGCGTGTTGTATGCGCGAGGAGAGTGGAGGCGAAGGGCCTGCGGGGTGGCCTCACCCCTGGGGGGATTTCCCACTTTCCTTCTCACGGTCTCTCTCCCGTGAGTGCACACACCCTATGGCAAAAACCTTTTTTTGGATATTGAGATTATAGATACACAGGGAGGAGCTCCCCCTGCACCCAGCAGGGGCCAGCCCACGTCCTTTGGTCGGTCGGGCTCAGGTACCTTTCGCCAGCTCTGGGCCCAACCAGCCAGGCCGCTCTCAGGCGGCGGTGACCGATTTCCGCCTCCAGGTAGGAAGCACCATGCCTCCGAGTCCTCACTGGGTCACAGAAAGCGCATCACGACCGACGGAGGTCCTCCGTGAAACGTTCTCACACCAAACACAGCAGGACCAGAGGGGGAATGCGCCCTGACCTCGGGCCTTCGCCAGCGCGAGGCCTCTGGGAACAGCGCCGTGTTGGGCAGGAAAACAGCAGGGGGACCGGCGTGGGACGCTCAGTGCTGGCTACGTTCAGTCCTTCCCCTTCGGCATTCTATTGTGAAACTGTCCAAAGACGCAGAGAGTGGAAAAGATGGCACAGAGGACACCCAAACACCTCTACCCCAACTGCCAGGTGTGTGTGCCCCCGAAGTCATGCACTGGGACAAGACCCAGCGCAACCATGCTGACAGCCGGGACGTTTGAGAGGGGGTTCGGTCGCGAGGGCTCTGCCCTTCTGCCCTCGTAAGTGGATTAACGCCGTTACCGGGGGGTGGACGGGTTATCGCAGCATGAGCTGACCGAGCAGGTGAGCGTGGCCCCCTTTCCCTCATGCTCTCCCCATCTCTTGCCTGACTTCTTCCAGGGAGTGACGCAGTGACAGGCCCTCGGCAGGTGCCGGGACCAAGCTCTCGGCCTCCCCAGGCCCCGGAATCGTGACCCAGATCCGTTTCTGCTCATCGTAATCGGCCAGGCTCACGTGCTCCACTTCAGCAGCAGAAGACAGACGAAGGCCCCAGTTCTGTGACCGTGGGCATTTTGCCACCCGTCCCTCGATCAACCCAATAGTCTCTCATTTCTGATGCATGTCCAAGTAGCTGCAGACAGTAACCCGCTTCACCCCAGTGCTTCTGCCTCCACACCACTCACTGCATCTTTCTCTCTGTTTTCTCCGGGTAAAACTCACAGTGAGACATGCACATTTTAAGCCTACCATTGGATGAGTTTTCGCAAAGGACCCACGTACCGCAAACACAAAGAAACAGCTACGTCCAAGGGCCCAGAAAGCTCCTGCGTGCCTCCTGCTTCCCTCGTCACAATTATGAAATGCACGTAGACACGTGTGTGTGTGTGTGCGCACATACGTGTGTGCATGTGTGTAGGATGAGACCGCTGGCATGGCATCTCTAGCAAGCAGCAAAACCCAGAGTGCCCACCCCATCACGATGGAACCGAATGCATCCGGGAGCTCCGAGGCACCGCATGGCTTTCTGCCCCGTGATCTGATGCGGATGGAGGCTGCACTCGGGCAGGAGCCGCCTCTGTCCTGGCAGAGTGCACTCTTGCACTGGCTCCGTGGAGGGGCATGAAGGTGCAGGGTCCCGCCACCCTCCGCATCTTTAACGTACTGTTAACGCAGGCCCGGGGCTCTGCAGTCCGATGGTGCTGAGAGCAGCCGCCGGGACCCAGAGGACTGGCCACTGGGCCAGGGAGGGCCACGTGGGGCCTGGTGTCTGGGATGAGGGACGCGGACACGGCACCCACTGGGTCAGGGCACTAGTCACCAGCACTGTGCGCGTCCTCGTGCCCATGAGTGGCTTCAGAGTAAGGACCCGCAGTGCTCAGAGACACGGAGCTGAGCATGCTCACGCAGTCCTGCACGGCCCCCTCCCCCCGGCACCTGCTCCCTTGCATCTTGGGCGCTTCTGTCCCCCAAAGCACCATTCCAGAGGTTCAGGGTCTTCTCTGAGCACCCCTGGCCACTGCGAAGACGCACTCAGCCTGGCTTCAGCAGACACACGAGGGGACGAGTCTTCAAACAGCCATAGAATGTGCACTACGAGGAAACCACACAGGAGCCCCCATTTGTTTTTATTCTTGGGGACCAGCAGATGGCATAGCAGTTACATCGCTGGACTCCCACATGGCTGACCACAGTTTGAATCCCAGACCTGCCGGCTTGAAACTCGAGCTGAGTACATGTGCATGCGTGCTCAAGATCCCAGGAGGAGAACAGAGAAGGGATTGTGGCGTGGCCAGCCCCCTCCCAGGGGGTGATTTCTTGATTTCCCTTTCACTGTCTCTCTCTCTGGCAAGCACATGCACCCTAAGGCAAAAACAAATTTCTAAAAACAATAATAAAAAAAACTCGTACTCGAATTCATTTCCCCACGAACCTCTGCGGGGGCCTCGTACATGAAGTGGAAACAGGTGACATGGCATCGGCTGAGCGCTGGCGTGACATTCCAACGTGACGGCGCAGAAACCTGATTCCGTCAGCTGTCAGAGGCAGTGGTAGTACAGGGACCCTGCAGACACCCACACCCTCCCGGGACCTGGTTACATTTTCACCACGAGCCACGAGGCGAGCTTGTCAGGCATGTAACACTCAGCCGAGGCGCTGGAGTGTCGTTCTACAGAAGTTGGCACAAACACCCCGCAACTGCACGCCCGGCCAGTCACTGCGGCCTCTCAGCTGGAGCCGCTGTGGGAAGCTGGCTGCACAGAGGGAGGGCAGGGAGTGCAACAGCTTGGCGTGACGTGACCACCACTTCTCCCCCCACAGGACGCGCACACCAAGAGGACCAGCCGTCCAGACGGCACCGAAAGGTAGGGGCCCTCGGGAGTCAGTGCAGGTGCAGCACCAGACCAGGAGCGAGCTCACCTTGTTCAGGTTTAGGGAGTAAAACTTGCCACTCTCTCCGCCCCTGCTCAGACAGTGAAAGGGAGGACGGACGGCTAAAAGCGGACACTCTGACGACAGCGAGGCCTCCCTGGACTTCCTCCGACTCCGTCTCCCCACGTCAGGCCTTGCCGCCGCCTGCACACCCAGGGCGCTCTCTGGCTTCCTCTAGCTCCAGCCTGGAGCCTGCAGTCTCCCTTCACTCTCCATCCCTGTGGCCGGGTCCTGTGTCACCACCAGGACTGCCTCGTGCAGACACAAAGCAAGGAAGGAAGCCACTTGCTCTTGAAACCGCCGGTCGGTTGCAGTCGCGGAGGGAGGAAGACCCCACAGGAAGCCCAGGAGGTAGGAAAACACGTCTTCCTTGCAGCGTGCGCCAGGGCAGAACGGACCCTCACGCACAGGAGCGGCGTGGACAGAACAAAGCACCTCCAGGTTCCAGGAAATGACGCACCTAGCGCAGCCCAGACCCGGCCTGGCAGTTTTCACCCAGGAGAGCAGCAGCCCCCATGTCCTTTCTGAATGCCAGGTTCTAGAAAGGTCTGTGACTGAAAGCAGCACGGCTGGTAGGTCGGAGAGATGGAATCTGAGCCCAGGTCCACCTCGAAGCTCCTGTTATCAGCCCATCCCTGCCACAGACATGGGGTCCCCATGAGGACAAGGGGACTCCTCACCCCCAATGCATGAGCTGCCCAGGGGTGCAGACCCGCGTCAGCCTGCTGCCTGCCTGGCCCACGCATACAGGCCAGCTCTGGCCGGGACCTCCCCCCTAAGCCCCGCCCGTGTGCGCAGGCAGCCCTCGGCTCCTCCTGCCTCTGC